TTGCAGTTAATGCTTGTTTATTACGAGTAGACTATGAAAGTATTACTAACATTCAACGAGCATACCTGCGCCTATTTTCTATGAGTATTGCAAATACGTATACTTGTGTAAACTAATAAACTATTAAACTGCCTCTAGTAGTTTTTACGATCTTTCTACCCCTATCCCCTTACCCCGCTACGGCCTATACCATGCATCAGGCCGAAATTCCGTTCGTAGACCAAATTGGAGACGTACCGCCCTTCACGCTCGCCCACTCCGATGTTTCCTGAAGTACAATTATCACCCAGAGTGATTCGCCATCGGTGAGTGGAGAGGCTCCACCAGAAATCTTCAAACATCGATATTGCAATGTCCAGACAGTCCGTTTGAATCGGCTGCGAGCGGGCATATATTCCAACTTGGAATATACGTTCGCTTTCCTCAAATGAGGTCAGGAGATCCCTTACCAATTGTGGCAGTTAAAATGTCAATTAGAAATGCATAGGAACCAACAAGAATTTCCTCTCAGAATTTTCATGTTGTCATTTTCAGTGAAATTTTTTCACCGGCGCATGTAGTTAACCTGGTTAACTTAACCATGTACATGTTTTCCCACACCGAAAAGATCCGAAGCCGAATCCCATCTCATTCACTGCCCGAACTAACTTCACTGCCATTCAACTCGATTGTTATAATCATCTGAAGTTATCATGTCAGCTACGATCAACCATGAGCTCTACAACTTCAGAAGTCTATTTCGCGGCTGAGACCAACATTTTAGCGAACAAGGAAATCATATTGGTGGACAGAGACGTCAATTAAGTGCGTAAAGAGATCACGGTCGTGGCTAGGGGCGTTGATCAATTGCGTAGGAAAATCATATTTGCGGCTAGGGGCATCAATTCGGCGTGCATGATGCTGCTACAATTACATGATGCTTCATGTAAAGAACGCTATCTTCGCGATGTGAAGTGAGTCGAAAACACTCACTGGGCAAACTATCCCATATCATGCGAGATACTATACGCAGCATCTCGGGAAGAACACTGCATCTCACAGTAGATTTCAGAATAAATTTCTATATACCTACTGCCAGTTGGACATCCACATTTAGCTCTGTAGAGCCACCGAACTAGCAAGCCCCGTCAGAATACTGGTAGTTCAACCTTAGGGCCTCCAGGATTCGCATGCCCTCTAGCAGCCGTGTAGCAATTAATATAGCAAATCCCTTGCTCAGACTTGGGGTGAGAGCTGAGCGAGGTTCGAACCAAAGACCTCTCAAAGACCACCTAAGCAGGATAACCTACTTAACTAAGCATCCTGAGACGGAATATTTGCCCGACAGCCCCGGATCTTTTCCAGCCACGCGCCGCACCGACAAAGATATCCACAAGATATCTTTGTCGGTGCGGGATGTCAATCAATTATTATCCACATAATTGTTCATTCTCGGTGATTTGGGCATTTTCTTCGGGGATAAAGCTCCATGATCCTCCATAGGAGCTTCCCATTAGTTTCCATGCCGATTAGCAATCTACTCACCGCCAGCCTGCCCTCTCTGGTGGGAGATCTACAGTTAACTCATGTACAGCAGGAAATACAGCGCCGCCATGTCGCTGCACTAGCGGCATGGAAGGAGGAGGACTACACCACCCAGTAAGCATCACGGAGTTATCATTGATAGTATGCGTGTGTTGCTAGTTGGAAGCAGTTTGCCAGTAAATATGATACGATACTGCAACTAGGTCGCAAGACCCCAGCGGCTGATGTCAACGAGAGAAGGAGGCAGAAAAGCAGCATGATGAGGACGACGTGCCAAGATGTGAGGAAAGTGGCCGAGAGGTTCAACTATGACATGGGTGCCTTGGTGGGTCGTCTTATTCTCTTGTTTGGCTACGACCTCGACGAAGATCTCGGCCGATTTCCCAATCAGCCGGCGACATCTACGGTCTTGCAAACTCTCCCGGCACTCTCAGAACCCTCCTCCTCATCCTCTGCTGCCACCCCATCCCTCGCCAGCGCCGCTTCATCATCCCAGGCCAAATGGTTTGAGCGCCTGGATAAGCGTCTCGCTGCCATTGATCGGAGCTCCAAGGAGTTATTGGAGCTTAGAAAGGACTTAGTGGCCGCCCAAACCAGGACGGCTGATGCTTTGACGTTGCTTGCTGGCAGCGTAATGCGCATAGAGGATATGCTGGTGAGGATTTCTGAAGGTATCCGAGCGGGAAAAAAAGTGTGCGTGGATGATGGGTGAACGGCGGCAGCCAAGTCGATTCTTGCGATGGCGAGCAGAGTGATGATGGTGCCAAAAAAGCTCGCCGCAATTAGCATCACGTGATCGATAGCGTTTTCACTCATTCAAGTTGCGTTGACAGATGGGATAAGAGATTTGCGATCCATGTGTTTTTCACTGATACACGTTCCATGGATTAGCCTCGGTATATACTTGATGGCTATATCGCGGCTTTCGGTAATGGGCTGTAGGATCGTCTACAACACGTCGTGTTGTAGACGACATACAATTGAATGTAACTTTCGAAAAGACGCATCTCATCAAGCTGGTCGGTGATCACGAGATGCGCTCAAGTCTCGAGTCATGGAGGCTAATCTGCACAGACCGTTCCGGATGTGGAGGCTCGTCTTCGTGGCCACCTAGGAGACGTCTATTGGCTGATCTTGGGTACGCATCCATGAAGAAAACACCACGTAATTCACACGTTATTCACTGCTCGTGTGCGTTTTTTCACGAAATGGGAGGTGAAATATGTTTTTCCAGCTAGTTTTTTTATATCACGGGCGAAGTCTAGACATTATCACCACAAAAGTATTCGTATCAATTCCCTACCTGCCAATTCCCTTCATTGGCATCCCTATTATTACCACTGAAATTGTTAGTATCCCATGTAGATATATTAAGTAAGAATGCCTTAATCTGTTGGTCCGTCACATGGTTGAGGAGGAAGCCTCCTTTGTGAGAGGAGGGAG